ACAAAATTGGATGCTACTTACTATTTCAAAAATAATTAAGACTAATCATGAATTTATTAGTTTCAAAATATTGGACTGGTAAAATATGACATATATATGTTGTTGGTATTTGATCCAGAGGACTGCAGGGTTCACAACACATGTTACAGTAGCAATAAATGAAAACCATCTGAGCTTTATGTTGCTCCCTACTGCAAACCTCTTATCTGTTTTCAAGAGTAGATGTATTTTTGTTGTTGTTGTGCTCTCTCTCTTTTTAAACCTAATTCTCCTTCTAGCAGTCATTGTGTTCTTTCATGGTAATCTGTCCCTTTGGACAATGACCAAAATTCCCACTTTCATGGATCTGCTGCCTCTTCCAGTACCGTCTAGAAGAGAGAGATTTGTATCAGATTATCACTGACACTGTTGCTTTATATTAGCAAGTATAATCAGTTTAGTTTGAACATTGCTGTTTTTATTTTTGCACATAACCAATTTAATTGCCACCTACTTTTAGCTGAGTGCTCAGAACACCTTTCTGGCTTTTCAGAAGTTCATATTTCCATATTTATACATGAGTTCATGGAACAATTATTGTGTTCTGTTGGCAATCACTCAAAAATACCATTAATTTATCTGTGTATGAAACAGGGACGTTCCAGACATAGCTTTTAATAGTGTTTTACTTCTGACAGACATGATGTATAAAGAGCTTAATGGCAGTCTAGATCTTTAGATTTTTGGACACATATTGATATGTGTCATAAGATCATTCAATTGGTCATTCTGGCAGATGGAATCAGATGTAGGTTATATGGAATAAGCTTCAATTAGTTTATCAACAGTGAAGTGAAGGTCCTTCTCTTTTCTTAAGGAACAATAACTGAACATTTGGAATTCAGAAATACTTTTTTATTTCAAAACTTGCCACCACTAAAAGAACACTGATATTTGGGAATTCAGTGCACATCAACACATAATTTTAGTAAAATTAAAGTGCAGCTTGCTCTGAATGATGAAGTGACTAAAGATTTATTCATTTAATTTAACCTCCCATAACATTACTCTGAATTAACTTGCTTGAACAAGAATATATCTTAAAAATAATAATTAAATCTTGATTAGCATTTCAAATGACAGAAAATTCATGGAACCTTAGTATGTTGCTCAGATAATTACTTTTGTTAACAATGGCTTCTTGTTTTTAGTCTGATGTGGAGCAGGTTTAAGTTCCACTGTGGGCTTCTGTGTGTTACCATTTGTAATGTCATTTTCCTTTTCTTTAGGTATTTACACTTTGCATTTTTTTAACTCTTTAACCTATTTGGCTTAAAGAGTAACTAAATTCCTGTTTTTCCTCACTAGAGGGCATGTTTTTCAATGCTTTCATCGTTTTGACCTTTATCATTCTGTCCAACTTCTCATCCTCCTTCACGAGTGGCTACCAGATTCATGTAGCATGGAGGTAATTTAACTTCCTAACTGTTTTTGAGTTTGCCTGGGTTTTTATAAAATTTATTGGTTTTATAGATGCAGTTTCCCACTGGAAGCTCAAACATCTTGTCTATATCCCTAATGTTCTTGGTTTTAAATTTCTCTCTTTATACTTTTTGTTTATATCTTGTTTTATGATGAAGCTAGTGAGTGAGCTAGATACCTTACATTATTAACCTGTTTGTTATATTATTTTCCACATGCCTTCATATCAACTTAATTATGATTTCTGCTTTTTCCCATGTCATTGTTAAAAAAATGCTCAAGATAAGTAAGCTGTATGGGGTTCCTCTAGAAACACATCACTTCAATTCAATTCATTACTCTTTTACCATTGCATACTGAGATGTGTCACTTAAAACACAAATTCAGTTTATCTGTTGCATATTTTTATGAAATTGAATGTTTTGTAAAAGTATGTTTCATAAAAATTGTTATTTTTATCAACTAAATGTATAATATCATCTAAAAAGCCAACAAGTTAATTTGATCATGTTTCTATGAATTACAGTTCTTGTGCATTATTATATTACAGACTTTTAAACCTTCAATAATCAAGGCTTGTGTTAGCTGTTTTATTATAGTACCCAAAACTGTAAGACTGACAGGTCATTTAAGACTTTAAAATACAGACACATCATCAGTGTTATTTTTCATCCTAGTTTTCTGATGAAACTTAATTGAAATCGAAGTTAATATTCCAGGTAGCAAGAATGTTGTGGTCTCTTAGGACTTTTTAATGCAAAATATTTATATTTAGCTACTTTAAATTATTTTAACATTGTATTGCTGTATTCTTCTTTTTCTCAAAGCAGACTAGCAAAACTACTGAGGTAATTTCTTTTTTACCTTTTCTCTTTAGTTTTTATGCAGATCACATAACCTCAGTGCAATCTGAAATTTTGTATGCAGGGCTAGGGAAAATTAGAACTAATAAAAACCTAGTGCTTAAAAAGTCTTAAAAAGTTGTAGTAAAAATAAGACCAAGACAGTGTGGAGAGCGAAGTGAAGTGAGAAAGGAGAATTATATCAGAAAAAGAATGCCCTTGTACAAAGGGTACAAGGTTCCATATAGTTCTGTGCTTTGAAAAATGCAGCCTCTTTTCAGCTTGAAAGACTTTATTTTCAGTTTGTTTCTTTGACTACATTAAGTTGAAATAAAAGAAGAAAGGACTTCTGTTCAGCATACTAAAGACAGGGCTGAATAAGTGTTTGAAGTTCTATGAGATTTGTTAGTTGCTGCTTGGGTTCTGCTATAGCACACAGTTACCACCTTTCCCAGCACATGTAGATATATTTCAATGACTTTTCATGTTACTGTTATGTTTTTCATATATTTTGAAAAACTCTGGACGAAAAAGACTGGTTAAAAGTAAATTTGTTCTTGCACGTAGGTTGAATCTAGACTTGAGGTATGACTCGAAGTTTACAGGGCTGCCAAACATTTTGGCATCCAGAATACTGTAGAATGAGCAAAGTGAATTACCACAGCTGCAACAAACTCATTTCTTCTGCAAGTCAAAACAATCCATTGTAGAATAGTATGCAGCCATGTGAAATGATGACATAAATGACTGATATGAACTGGCTACAAACTTCAAATACCACACAGGGACTTGGGTCCATGCATTGCTGTGGTTCTTTTCATTCACAGATAAAAATATTATATGGTGTGCTGTTGTATTAAGGCAATACTTAATAGGAAATATAGTGTTTATTGTTTGTTCTCCATATATAGACAACAATTTCCTTCTGCCAGTTTGATTCTTAAGTTCTATAATCAATGCTTAGTAGTTAATAATATTACTATTTTAAGTTTTAGCTCTATTGATTCAGGCTGTTTGGTGACTCAGGCAACTGCAATTCCATCACTGTGAAGTCTGAAACTCATCTTTACATTTCAAAATAAATGGAAAAGTACAAGAAAAAAAAGGACTTTTTTTTTTTTTAATACTTACCACCTTCATAAAAACAGCAGGTAATATGCTACTTTGGTCTAAATCCACTCCTAGTGATTGATAGATGAGTTTTATTTCAGAAATGTCAAAGCTGTTTATTTCTGTTCCTTTTTTTTTTTTTTTTTTCTTTTAATGATTGTTTATGAATGGACTGATTAGCTCTCAGATGTCTCCATTAAAACATTTATACTGTGCCAACTGTTCTGAAAATTATTCTGTTTGAGGGAACTTCTACACATTTCCTTCTTAGCAAGCTTATATAACTAAAGAACCTTATGCTAGGATCTAATTGTGTTATGCAATTTCCACTTCATGTACCTTTGTACTGAAAGTAATTTTCTTAAAGAGTGAGATTCTCAAGTAGAGAATGATATCATATGTTCCATGAAATTAATGCATGAATGATCGTCATTATGCTTTCATGTCTACCTTCATCATTATTCTTCATATCTATATTTTAGCATTGCTATAAGCCACCTTGTCATTTTGCATTCCTTGTTTCTAGCACTGTTTAAATGCAGAGTAAGAGAGATCATCTTCTTCCTCCACCTTCTTCCTGGTGAAGTGTGTTCCTGGCTTCCCAGGCCAACAGCAACACATTTGGGGAAGGAGATGTTTGTGGTGGTTTTACCTTGCTAGGCAGCTGAACTCTACCACAACTGCTGTCTCATTCCCCCTCTTCAGAAAAGGAGGGGAAGAAGAAAAGGAAAGAAACAACTCATGGGTCAAGATGAGGATAATTTAATTAAAGTAAAAAGTTATTAAGGGAAAATCATTATTAATTAAATAATAATAAAGGGAAAAGGAAAAGGGGAAAAGGGAAAAAACAAACAAAACAACAAACAAACAAAATTGAACAACAACAACAAAAAAAAACACCAACAAACAAAGACTGTGTGGAAGTGCAGAGGAAAGAAATTACTCTCTACTTCCCACAAATGAGCAATTTTTGACCACATCCTTGAGGCAAAGCTTCAACGCACATAGCTGTTGTTCAGGAGGACAGACGTTTTCACAATGACAGCCCACTCTCTTCCTTTTTCCATATTTTATTGCTGAGTGTGACATTGTATGGTATGGAATATCCCTTTGGTTGGTTTAGGTCAGTTGCCCTGGTGATATTCTTTCTTCCCCTCTTGTCCACCCCCAGCCTGCTGGCTCTGGAGGAGTTGGAGGGAGTCCTGATGCTGTGCCAGTAATGTTCAGTAGTAGGCACAACACTGGTGTGATACCAGTGCTGTTCTAGCTACAAGTGCAGAGCACAGCAATGTATGGGCTGCTGTAGGGAAAGTGAATTCCACCCCAGTCAGACACAGTACTATGTTAACCTGGCTCTTACACTGCTAGAAAGCGTTGAATGTTTTATAGGATAAAGACATAGTGAACCTGAAAATACACAAATCTCAACCAGAAAATTGAAAAAGGACAATTTTTTATTTGCTTTTTTTTATTGCTTTTTCTTCTTGGTTATCCAGCTCCGATGCACTTTTTAACCTGGTTCTCTGAAAAATTTTGTTCCACTTACAAAACTAGAGTGTTTTTATTGTCTCCTATTTACTCTTTCAGGATTTGTGGATTTAACACTCCATGATCAGGTCCATCTACTGGAATGTGCCTGGTTAGAGATACTGATGATTGGCTTAGTCTGGCGCTCCATGGAACACCCAGGAAAGCTTTTATTTGCACCTAATCTATTACTGGACAGGTCAGTCTGAGTATTGCTGTTAATTATTTGATTTGTTTCTACCGCAATCAGGTTAATTTCTAGTTTGTAGACATCTTGCTGATACTACAATTTGACAGTACATCATAAATTAAGCAGGATTGTCATTGGTGGGACTGGAAAAGAAACTCTAAAATATCTAGAACTACTCTGTTGAATGATGTTGGTAATTTGCTAGACAGAGAAAACATCTGAAAGTCACCAGCTGCTGGAAGTACTTTATTTCAAAAGCAGATGAAAATTCCTGTTATAATTTGTACAGTTTGTTGCAAAGCTAAATTAAATTAAAAATAAATCTGGAACACTAATCCCTTTAATCCAGATAATTATTTCTGCTTACCTAGAATACTCCTAGCCAGTCTTAGCTAAAATTGGTTTATTCAGGCAGCCAGCCATAATTTTGTAAGAAAATCCTGATGGCTCTAAGTTGAAATCTTATTTATTTACACTGAGATTTTTATTTTTCTTCTGAATACTGGAGTCAAATTTGGAAAATGCACACCTGTTTGCTTCTCTAAGCCTTTTTAGATAGTCTTGCTGAGATGCTGTAGTTGTTTCTATGTGAAAGAGAAAAATATGCTTCTCTGCCATACAACAATATTCTGGATTTTAGCTGTCAGTCTTCACAAAATCAAAACAGGAATTCTAGCAATTTTAGTGCAAACTCTCTCTCTTTCTCTCTCTCTCTCTCTCACTCTCTCTCTCTTTTTTTTTTTTTTTTTTAATTTTCCCAGTCATGAAAATATTTAGCCTTGAAAAAGTGCATTGAAACAGAATAAATAGTGAGCAGGGGATTTGACATATGACTGTGGCAAACCCAGGAACAGTTGGTTAAGATGGCCGGTCAGTTTGACCTCAGTACCAGGGAAGCTCATGGAGCAGATCCTCTTGGGAGTCATCATGCGGCACTTGAAGGGCAAGCAGGCGATCAGGCCCAGTCAGCATGGGTTTATGGAAGGCAGATCCTGCTTGACGAACCTGATCTCCTTCTACGACAAAGTGACGCGCTGGGTGGACGAGGGAAAGGCTGTGGATGTGGTCTACCTTGACTTCAGCAAGGCTTTTGACACCGTTTCCCACAGCATTCTCCTCAAGAAACTGGCTGCTCTTGGCTTGGACTGGCGCACGCTTCGTTGGGTTAGAAACTGGCTGGATAGCCGGGCCCAGAGAGTTGTGGTAAATGGAGCCAAGTCCAGTTGGAGGCCAATCACTAGTGGCGTCCCCCAGGGCTCGGTGCTGGGGCCGGTCCTCTTTAACATCTTCATCAATGATCTGGATGATGGCATTGAGTGCACCCTCAGTAAGTTTGCAGATGACACCAAGCTAGGTGCGTGTGTCGATCTGCTCGAGGGTAGGAAGGCTCTGCAGGAGGATCTGGATAGGCTGCACCGATGGGCTGAGGTCAACTGTATGAAGTTTAACAAGGCCAAGTGCCGGGTCCTGCACCTGGGGCGCAATAACCCCAAGAAGAGCTACAGGCTGGGAGAGGAATGGCTGGAGAGCTGCCAGGCAGAGAAGGACCTGGGAGTGATGGTGGACAGTCGGCTGAATATGAGCCAGCAGTGTGCTCAGGTGGCCAAGAAGGCCAACGGCATCCTGGCTTGTATCAGAAACACTGTGACCAGCAGGGCTAGGGAGGTGATCGTCCCCCTGTACTCGGCTCTGGTGAGGCCGCACCTCGAGTACTGTGTTCAGTTCTGGGCCCCTCGCTACAAGAAGGACATCGAGGTGCTTGAGCGGGTCCAGAGAAGGGCGACGAAGCTGGTGAGGGGCCTGGAGAGCAAGTCCTATGAGGAGCGGCTGAAGGAGCTGGGCTTGTTCAGCCTAGAGAAAAGGAGGCTCAGGGGTGACCTTATCACTCTGTATAAGTATATTAAAGGAGGCTCTAGCGAGATGGGGGTTGGCCTGTTCTCCCATGTGCCTGGTGACAGGACGAGGGGGAATGGGCTAAAGTTGCGCCAGGGGAGTTTTAGGTTAGATGTTAGGAAGAATTTCTTTACTGAAAGGGTTGTTAGACATTGGAACAGGCTGCCCAGGGAGGTGGTTGAGTCACCATCCCTGGAAGTCTTCAAAAGACGTTTAGATGTAGAACTTAGGGATATGGTTTAGTGGGGACTGTTAGTGTTAGGTCAGAGGTTGGACTCGATGATCTTGAGGTCTCTTCCAACCTAGAGATTCTGTGATTCTGTGTGATTCTGTGAGATATCCTAGCCATTGGTAGTACTCTTTTTTGATGTTGAAGACACCCACATAGCACAGTTGGCAGCAGAGACCTTATGCGTGGACATTGGTCACATAGTGCAGAGCTAGACTATAATGTGAAGCAGCTAAGATCTGGCAATGTTACTGATCTCATTGCTTAGCTGCAGAGGCATTGCAGCAAAGAGTCAAAGGCAGTTCCTTCAGCAACTGCAACCATTAGTTAGGTGAATGAATCAAAACTCTTGCTAGCAGAAAAATTGTTTCTCTTGTAAGGGTTTCAAAATCAAGATTACAGTAATAAATGAAGTTTTTTTTCCTCCTTTTTTTTTTTTTTTAGTCTACTTGGGAATTCACTAAGTTCCAAGACAAAATGCCTAATGGGTTACTAACATTGTTCCATGGCTACATCTTTTGAGCAGCTTGTTAAACTAACTGTGGGGTACTGAGCTTCCATGTTTGGATTTGTACAATGCTGAGGATTTGGTCTTTTCCCCTCTATTTGAAAAAAAAAAAAAAAAAAAAAAGATTTAATCATTTAATCTTTCTATTTTAGGAAAATATAAAAAATAATGCCTAAAAGTATAATACATAATATTATAGTAATATATCATAGAATATATCATAGAAGTAAGGAAGTGCTTATTGCCTTGCTTATTGCCGTAGGAAAGCCTCTCTTCTGCTTGTATAAGCACATGATCTGTGAGCTATGGAACTAGATACAGACACAGAATTGTCTAGGTTGGAGGAGACCTCAAGATCATCAAGTCCAACTTCTGACCTAACACTAACAAGTCCTCCACTAAACCATATTGCTAAGTTCAACATTTGAACATCTTTTAAAGACCTCCAGGGATGGTGACTCCACCACTTCCCTGGGCAGCCCATTCCAATGCCCCACAACCCTCTCAGTAAAGAAGTTCTTCCTAATATCCAACCTAAAACACCCCTGGTGCAACTTTAGCCCATTCCCCCTCGTCCTGTCAACAGGCATGTGGGAGAATAGACAAACCCCCACCTTGCTACAGCCTCCTTTAATGTACTCAAAAGATGTGCAAAACAACATAGAAAATATTTTTTTTGTGCAGAATGTATCTGCTTCCTTAAATGTAAATATACTTTTCTTAGACTAGGCAAAAAAAAAAAAAAAAAAAGAAACACATCAGTTTTAAAATAATTTCTCAGTACCCATAAAAAGGAAAAAGTTCTACTGTAGGAAAGCAAATATAGTATGCTACTGAAAAATACTGTAAATTGCAATTTAGCCTCCAAAAACTAACTAGTTTGTTTCACATTTTGTAATGTAGGCTGTGTGAAAAAACTTAAAACTGAAGAACAGAGCCAGAGTACCATTTTTGCTCCTGTTAGCTAAGAAAAAGAGCTTAGGAAACTTCGGTCTTTCTCGACCAAAAATTCCCATACTATGAATAATAATAAAAAAAAAGTCCAAACAGTTGATTCATGCAGTTTAAACCAAGTCTCTGATGGATTAAAAGAAACAATTGCATGTAAGTGGAAACACATATTGCTTTAGAGGTGAAAAATTAATTTACTTCATAACCAAAGCAGACTCCTTGTTTTCTGACCTTTAAACAGGACTGTTTCTAAAAGTCTAAATCTATGAGATGTTATCATTTTCAAATAATAAGAAATGTGTTTCCATATACTTTCTTCCCTCTACTTGTTAGGGATATTTGCCAAAACTGAAATAATAAATTAATTGACTCTGGAGAGCACTGATATGCTAATTAGTTTACTAACCATTGATGTAATCATTAATTAGTGCTAACACTAATTTATGTGTTAATTTGATTTAAGCATGTTTCCATTTGAGAGTGTTACAGAGCAGAGTCATATTATTTGCCAGATTTGAGAGGGCTGAACAGAGACTGTTTCAAAGACTAAACCAGTGGAGTCCTTCCACTGCATCAAATATTTCAGCATATATCACAAGAAGAGTGAAAAAAAAAAAAAAAAAGTTTGATGCATCATTGTTATAGATTTAAATAATGAAATTATGATTGAATGGCTAAAATAATGGGAAAGATGCATACAGTAGTAACATTTTCTTTCACCTAGGCTTCTTTCTGCATATTCTTTACAGGATACTTATTTTCAGTATTTTCATCCACAGCTTTCTGTCATGAATTCCCATCACTCTTACCCTGTTACCTGATCTGTGCAGTTAAAAGCATGTGCAAATGTAAATTTAACTATTGGCTATAATCCAGAGTCACCAACTGCAGATACTAAAGACTTGGTCTGTCTATAACCTATGTCTTTGTGGACTTAATGCAAGTTCAATATCCTTAATATAGAGCTTTATAATATTTTGTCTCTGCCTGTCTGATCATTCAGTGCCAGGCATCCTCTCTGATTTCTTCATCTGTTCCATTTTTCACTTTCAGGCTTATCTTGTATCTGATAGATTCCTTCTGTCCGATAGACTGTCATTTGTGTACATCTGTATGTAAAGCTCAGGTCACTTCAAGTTTTACTACAGCAACTTTTTCCATCTTGGCTAGATAAATACAGTCTTGCATTGTTCATATCTGTCTGAAATGCTATAAAAATACCATTCCTGTTTTGCCTTTACTTGAGCAAATCTAATTTTTGTTCTTCCAGTTTGCTCCTCCTATTTGGGTTTTATTGGGTCTTTTCCCATTCTGTGACACTACTTGTTACATTTTCAAATAAATACCTCTATAATTTTCCTATGTATCTATTCACATTTGGAAGACTCCTTGAAAATATCCATAACGCAGCCCTTTTTTACCCACTTT